GTCATGCCGTTCGGATTATCCTACGCCCCCTGTACCTTCATGCGCTTAATCAATCAGGTTCTTCGCCCTTTCCTTTGTTCTTTTGTGGTGGTATATTTGGCGATATCTTGATTTATAGCAAGACCAAGGAAGCACATTTGGACCACCTCAGGCATGTGTTACAAGCATTACAGGAGAACAAACTCTACATCAACTTGAAGAATGCACTTTCTGTACTAGCAAACTTCTATTTCTAGGCTTCATCGTCGGCGTTGACGGGATTCAAGTCAACGAGAAGAAGCTAAGTGCCATCCGCAATCGGCCTACTCCCCCATCAGTATCTGATGTCCCCAGCTTCTATGGATTGGCCACCTTCTATAGCAGGTTCGTACGTGACTTCAGTACTATCACAACGCCCATTATGGAGTGTCTAAAGAAAGGCAAGTTTCATTGGGGCCCAGAACAAGAAAAGAGCTTTGAGTTGATCAAAGAGAAGCTTTGCTCGGCTCCAGTTCTAGTCCTTCCCAATTTCGACAAAATATTCCAGGTGGAGTGCGATGTGAGCGGGGTTGGTGTGGGCGCCGTCTTGTCATAGGAAAAACGGCATGTTGCCTACTTTAGTTAGAAACTAAGTGATACGAGATAAAAGTGGACCACCTATGACCAAGAATTTTAGGTAGTCTTCCGACCTCTTAGGCAGTGGGAGCATTATTTGATCTAATGAGAGTTCGTTTTGTTCACTGATCATTTGTTGTTAAAATTTCTCCATAGACAGAGAATTATCAACAAAATGCACGCTCGGTGGGTGAGTTATCTACAGAAGTTCCCTTTCTTATTCAGCACAAATCGGGAATACAGAACAAGGTAGCAGATGCGTTAAGCCGGAGGGCCTCTTTATTGGTGACTTTGTTGCAAGAGATTTGGGGTTCGAATTTCTCAAAGAACTATATGCGACAGATCCCGAATTTCAGGAGTTATTGTATACATGTAACCATCAACACCTAAGTGAGGATTACCATGCACATGATGGGTTCTTGTTCAAAGGGGATAGACTATGCGTCCCGGCTTCCTCCTTACAGGAGAAACTGATTCGCAACTTGCATGACGGGGGTCTCGAAGGTCATTTGGGGCGTGATAAAAGCATCACTAGCTTGGAGGAACGATATATTGGCCCCACCTACGCCGTGATGCCAATACCATCGTCAAGCGCTGCTTTGTCTGCCAAGTCTCAAAAGGATAGTCGCAAAATACAGGGTTGTACGAACCGCTTCTTGTACCGAATGATATTTGGCTAGATCTTTCGATGGATTCGTGTTGGGACTTCCTCGTACTCAACGGGGTGTAGATTTTGTCTTCGCGGTGGTCAATCGCTTCTCAAAGATGTCTCATTTTATCGCTTGTTAGAAGACTGCAGATGCTTCCAACATTGCAAATTTGTTCTTCAAGGAGATCGTGCGCCTGTATGGGGTTCCTATGACCATGACCTCTGATCGTGACACAAAATTCCTCAGTCATTTCTGGATTACCTTGTGGAGGATGTTTGGTACCTCGTTAAATCGGAGCTCTACAACACATCCGCAAACTGATGGGCAAAAGGAGGTTACCAACCGGATGCTAGGCAATATGATTCGTACTCTATGTGGAGATAATCTGAAATAGTGGGATTTGGCTTTAGCTTAGGCGGAATTTGCATATAACAGGGTGGTGCACTCCGCTACTGGTAAGTTGCCTTTTTCTCTGTGTATACTACCCCGCCGCGACATGTAGTTGACCTGGTGGCATTACCCCACCTTCAACGTCGCTGATCTATATGACTTCCATGAAGATGGACCGCTTTATCGTGATCCGAACTCGCGGTCGAGTTCTTTACAGGTGGAGGAGACTGATGCAACATAGCTCGTGGACATGCTTCAAGCCTAGTTTCAAGCTGAGGAGGCGTTCATGATGTCGGATAGCGTTTCAGGCTGAGGAGGAGTTGATGACGTCGAGGATGCATGAGTCTACATGCATGGGGGATTTGGTTAATTTGTTGCTTTGTTAAACAATTATTATTATTTGTCTTTTCCTTATGGTTTTCGGTTAGGGTAATGTTTTTCCTTATGGTTTTCGGTTAATTGAGCATTGGCTATTTAAGGCCTTGCTTGCTTTGTTTTGGAACACAACTTTTACCAATTGATTCAATTAGAACCCGAGGGTTTTTTACAGTGGAGTCTGGCTTTCTCGTCAAGTTTGTGGTTTGCGAACTTGTTTATTGCAGAAGCTCGGCGCTAGCGAGCTTGTTTAATTTTCTGACTGCGTCACCAGCTCATCTGAAGTGTCTGTTGAAGTTCTACAATCGGTTCAGAAGTCGTCGCCCTAGTGCGTGGACTGGGGCTCGATTCTAGAGTGAGTTATTGTACAATTCTCAGGGTTTCCTCGTGTTAAACTTAGTAGAATGGTGTAGAATCTCATGGTTAGTCTGGTATGGCGAGAATGTTGTGGTCATGTTACAACTTATAATCACAAGGAACAAAAGTAAACAAAATGAGCTAATATATAAGTCCATCGGTCTAATCTTGACATGACCACCTCAAATTGTCGAAAATCCCTCTTTTGTTGAGCATGAAACGTAACCTAAACCATGGAGATCAGACTCTTCTACAATGTGATCAATTATCATAGGCAAATGTGATCGTGTTATCGGAAGTGCACTTATATGGTTGGTTGCAACTAAATAAAGTTAACTAGTCTAACATGCAACAAAGCCAATACTTGAGTGGTGTTGGAAATGGAGTGAGGCACTAATGATACTAACTACCCTGACTTTTGTGAAAGCAATTAAGCGAAAAGAGAAGCACTGAAGCAGAGCCATGGCAACTGTCTGCAAGGAAATTAAATGCAAGACCAAGTCGCCCAAGCATTAATATTAGTACAAGCATACACGTTAGACACATTAATGAAGGAGTTTGGAGAATTATACCGGTCAGTTTTCCTTCCCCAAGCTTTCCTTTTCTGGGGCGACCCTCTGAGTAGTAACAAGAAAGGAGGTCCAAGTTATGATCACAAACTGATACCTAAAGGATTACACAGTAACAGTTGCACACAAATGGTCAGAGGCAACCTGCAGAAATAAATAGAAAAGGCAGCTGAGAAGCTGATGAATGCGTATATATATAAGAGTATCCCTGGGGGGCCAAAATGGAAAACAAAGTCTTCAAGTTTGAAACCCAGTTTGGGAGAGATTGGTGGTCTCGTCTCTCGTGAAGTGAGAGCGTGAAGGGGTACGTATTTCGGAGACAATGAGATACGTCTATCTGTATTATGTTTTCCCCCCGATTTCCTCCATAGCAAAACATGTTTACTAAGTGCTCACAGGACATGTGTGAGCGTGTTCATCATAGTGATTAAAATTAAATTAGAAAGACACAAATACATGATGTACGTAGTTTTCCTGAGAATCGGTGCTAGTTCACGGAAGAGGAAGAAACTCTCTAAAGTCAATATTATTTAGCTTAGTATATATATATATATATATATATATATATATGGCTGGCTAGGCTATACTCCAAACCATAGCCGGCCTAGATAGGTAACTCAGTATAAGAATATTTACTAAAAGCCACATAAACTAAATCAAGTCGTCACTTTTAACACATAGCGTCTTGCATCCGTCAGTTCGCGTGCGTTTTGTTCTGCAGTTATCGAATATGTATGTTGGAATTTTTATAAAACGTGACCTTCTGCAATCTTACAGATGCAGAATGTTGTAAGCACATAGCGTCCTGCATCCATCGGATCGCGGTTTGCTCTGTAGCTATCAAATGAATGTGTTGGAATTTTATAAACATAACCTTTCTGTGCAATCTTATGGATGCAGGACGTTGTAAGTCCGTGAGAAATCTTATGGATGCATGACGTTGTAAGTACACATTCTCACGGTAGCTCTATAAGCACAGTAACAGAAGGCACTCTTTAACTTTTGTATTATCTTCTATTCCAACGAGTGGGAGAGAAACTACGTAGGAACCATGCATATTTATCTGCCCAATTATGTATTATCTTCAATTATATTATCTGCCCAATAATAGCAATAGGGTGTATGGGGCCATGCATATATTTGGTGTACTATTGGTTTCATCCATTTTGTTCATTTTTCAACCGTATCCGGGTGCCTTGTTTGTACGCTTCAGTTCAGCTTCCAAACAAAATTATTGAATATAAATTTCCAAACTTGACTACTATATCAACGTTTCATATGACCTATCAATTTTCCTAAAAGAAATTTTTTTCATCTATTATTATTATTATTATTATTATATCTCTTTCTGTGGTGGGTTCTATATATGATATTGATAGTTTTGATTGCTAACATGTACAAACTGAATCTAATTATGTATCGTCTCCTGCATAGAAAAAAATGTTGGCAATCGCAACGGACTATCTATTTTCAATTTGCATATCAATCAACTTCGACCGTTTAACCAAATTCACTGAGAGAACACCTTGACACATCATACATGTTGAGAATTGCTCATCTCTATTTTTTTGTTTTGTTTTAATTTTGAGAACTTACCACGTAAGACTTGAAGTCCATGCCATGCACATGAAGTCAATTTTGCAAGAATTTATAATTTCATATATAATGTCGATCAGTAACCCTTTACCCAGGAATTATTAAAATCGATATGAAAATTTAAGCACCCGGATTCTTACGGGTTGTCACTACAGCATCCATGTGTTGTGTTATACCACATGTCACCGATCTATAGATTTTTATTTTGAAAAAACTCTACTACAAAAAAATAAGTATTAACGACGGCTTTTTAAAGACGGTCATCAGAAACGTCATTATCTATCAGCTCCACTACGGAATATTTGCCCGTCCAGTGGCCGTCGTTATCCACGCGTCATTTTTCCCACGTGAAGCTTCCTCCGTGGCTTGTACCAAACTTTTGATTTTAATACTATTTTCTGGTACACTTTTTTAGTATTATAAAAATATACTTTTCGGATTTTAAGAATAGAAACAAAATAGAGAAAATCCCTCTGTTCTGCTCATCTTTCTTCCTATCCTTTTTCTCATCGGTCTTCAGATCTTCTCCTCTCTGTCCCAAATTTCTAAATAAAAACCCTAATTTTTGTTGGAAGGACGATAAGAAGAAGATTGAGAATGCAGTTTTGTGGAGATAATAGACTGCTCCAGTCATCCTCATACTCGTTCATCACTGTGGATGCTAGTGACATCGGCGATGGACGGCGACGTTCAGATTACCAATCCGAGCTTCGTTGTGTTTGAGAACGATTGAAGGGTTCTCCGTTGCCATAAGATCCAGATTTTGTATATCATCGGAAGAGGATGGGTGCGGCAAGATCTCATCGACGAGGAGATTTGTGCTCTAACGATCTTCGTCGAGAATTTCAATGGAGGTAAACAACTGATACTGCTAGCTAGTTTCAATTCATTCGATTAATTTCTTTCCTTGGGCAATATATGGGCATATTCCTATGCATTAGGATTGAGGCCTGATTCTTTACTAGATTTTACTTGACTTAACCGTGGAATTGTTGCAATCTTAGGGTTCTAGAGTCATTGGGGCTTGACTGTATTACCGCAGCAGTGTTTTTCCCCGAGTGTGGGCAATGGAGGCAGATACAGCTTAACAATTTCGTAAAAAATTGAAGAGTTCAATGTTGCTTTGGATGAATGTTTCTGTCATCCCCTGTTCGCTATCGTTTGTTGTTGAAGCTAGCCAGCTACCTTAGTGATCTTAACTTTCTTATGATAACTGATTTATTTTGTATGTTTCCTTTAGCATGGAGGCCTCTGTATCGAGATGCTTTTGGGGTTCATCAGAAGAACACCAAGTTTGATGTAATTTTCTTATGCTGGTTATGCTTCTCACTGACAGGCTGAGTAATCGATGTTATGGTATTTACCTTGAAATCATATAGAGGAGGAGCCAGTTGATAAGTGTAAGCATTGGGGTAATTTGGTAATGAGGAAGAGATGGAAGAAGAGGAACTTGAGGTGGCATATATGTTCACAGTATTTAAGGTATCAAGTTACTAATGTTTTTGCACTTTGATTTCAGTGAGGCTTTCGTTCTGTATTATCAAGAGTTCGATTGTTTGGGTTTCTATATCAATCCTTTATTTTCTTTCATACAGTACACCAACTGGTGTTGAGACACCTCTTTTCTAGAATTATCTTTCCCCTTGTGTAAGAATATTTGTTCTCTTATGTATTCAGCACTTTCAAATATTTTGATGTCAACTAAGCTCCAGTTTCCACATGGCGCTTTGGAGAAGCTGCATCCAAACTGTGTAGACCTGTGCAGAGCCTTTGATGCCATAACCCAGGTACCTACATCCATGTATGTTAACCTACCTACTTGTAGCCTTAAAATGGTATTGTTTGATTGGTAAGTGAAATTGTATCCTACTTGGTTTGCTGCTTTTTCCCCTATCAGTGTATGTTGTTGTGGGTAACTTTATATCTAAATGAGTGTATGTTGTTGTTCCCATCAAATTGAGGGGAACTAGTATAGTAGATAGCTTATTTACTCTGTTTCCTTGCTTTTACTGTGTGGGAAATTGTGGTAGCTAGATGCATTCGAAGTGCAACTCTAGGGATTCTTATATGCTTATAATTAGAATCTGGGTTGTTGATCATGTCCTCTCAGTTGACCTAAATGGGGATGTTCTGTATTTACCCTCCTTGCGTTTATTGCAGAAGAACACTTGAGGTAGCTAGAGGATTAGGCTAACTCCCTGTCAGGTGAACTCCTATGTGTTCATTATTTCCTTAAGAGCAGATCTTGTATTGCTAATACCAATTTTGCAGGCAAGACTCAAGTAATGGAAAAGAAGGCAAAAAATGAGTTATCCAGATTCTGGAAGAGTTTCAGAGGTGGAGAAAAAAAAAAGGGTTCTTAAGAGCACTCTCTGTAATGACAGAATTCCAGAAGTCACTATATGGTGTGTATGTTTCTTTCCGAGAGTTCATGAAATTGACTGTAATGCCTAGTTCCTTTCTCACTTGGAAAAATGACTTGTTTCCTTCATCTTTCCTGTCATGTGGATTTTACTTGTCAGTTTATTGTTAATTTCAGTGGTATTAACTGTTCTGGCAATGGACATATCTTGTATGGAATGGCTTATCAGGATTTGACAGTGCAGTTGCAACTTGCAAGGGAGGCAAGGATATTGGATAAGTGCAATGATTGAAACCTGAATTTTCAATTTCTCTTGATATAATCATTAGGTTGTTTGTTCAATTTCGTTATAATCAAATCAAATCAATTGGATGTGGATATTGGATATGTGCAACCAATGATTGTTGTCTTTTCTGGACTTTTAAAAAATATATTTCTGTAATAGATCTGGCCTTTTCATGGTTTAATTATATATGTTGCTACTTTCAGAATTGCATAAGTGCTCTGCTAGTCATCAAAGAGACGTTCTTCAAACATGGCGAGAAGGAGACCTTGAGGTCTTGCGTGAAAGCGCTTAATTTCTCCTCCGTAGAGAGCAAGGGGGAGCTGAAAGATTATGCTTGCCGGATGAGCTTATTTCTAAGCTTAGATCTACTTTCAAAGAAGCTACGGTAAAGGGCTACGGTTAAGAAGCTACGGGAAGATCTTGCTACAGAATTCAAGATGCGAACTTAGGTATGTTCCTTCCTTCCCTTGCACTCAACCCAGATGAAGGATGGGAGAAGATAAGAACTACTATATTTCTTTGTCTCAACTTTATAGCATGGCATTTAGTTTTTATTCGGTGACAACATGTGCCGCCCTTAGCTAGAGTTTCCTTACCTGAATGAGCAGATTCGAAGAGTTGGCTATTTCTTTAAGTTCATTTCTATGGTGCTCGGTTACATTTATAATGCTTGTGGAAATTTTGTTGCATTATGATAAAGTAAGATCGACATTATTGTTCATAGTTTCTATTTTAACCTTGAATGGCAGTTAGTGTCCTGAGTATGGGTCTTCTGCACATAAATTCAATGGATAAGAATGTTGCGTTGTAATAAACGTTCTTGTGTATTTTATTTTTGTTAATTTAGGTTCTGTGAGTGGAGGAAATTGCAAGAGTTGGCGGGGCAAGAAGATGTTGATGGTATTTGGTTGGTGGAGCTTCTCTCTAGGTGATTGCGATTGAGTAAAATTGTCATCAATTTATTGAGGGTCTTCTCTTCAATATTTATCCGCTGGCTTTTATACCTGACCTCTCATTTTACCTCTTTGTCAGCCTGAGTTCTTCAAAATCATGAAGTCTGCCACTGTTAAGAAGAGCACTTGAGATTTGGATTGATGTAAGAAGTGCCCCGAGCTCATCGAATTCATTTACGACATCATGAAACTAGCCAAGAAACATAGTGACGCTGGGAGCAGAGATTTTCAGACATGAGGTTAGTTTCTATCTTGTTACATTAAATGTCAAACTATCAAGAATTATCAAAAGGGGTAACTGCTGTCATTCGTAGAAATTTAATATATGAACTGAGAATTTCTCTTGTAACGTTAGGAAGTTGGTTTGTTAAGGACGAAGGAGAGGCATTCTTCTTCACATTTTGGCATTCCACGTATCCTTTGTGTTAGTCGTCAAGCTTGCTTATTTTGGGAATGCTAGTCTTGGTTGTGGGTCAAATGCAAGTTGCTCGGTCTCATTGTAGTGTAATCTGGACAGACCTATCATTGATTGAAACCTGTGCCAAAGTTGAAGTTATAGTTCCTAAATGTTGTGTTTTCCCGGTCTGTTGTGGCTATCAAGCCTGCATAGCGTCACTATGGTTCCTTCTGGGGACTCTCTTGTACTACTTTCAAATTGTTTCTCTGCCCCTTAAGAAAAGTTTGTTTAATTGACTAGCTGTTTGTTTAATTGTTCTTTTGATATCATAAGACCTCATCAGCTTAATAATCCTAGCTTGTGAAGTATTTTACACACCGTTGTTTTAGTACTTGCATTCTGTTTCCGTGGTTATTATCTCTGATTTGCTTCGTGTTTCCTTGCAGTGCGGGATTCTTTTGTTTGTGAGATGCAGTGCTAGATTCTGGTATGCTGTAAGAGGGGCTGGTGTGTTTGCAAGAAGGACGACAAAGAGGTTTTGAACTTTCACAAGGAACATTAGTTCATATACATGAGAATGTTAAACTTTAGAATGTTCAAGGGATTTTTGGTTGAGGATTGATGATTTTTATTAATATGAAGCTTTCCAAAACTAGATTTGTGTGATTTTGTTGGTTAATTTTGCTCAAATTACTATTGATTTAGTTCTAGTTGATTGGACTAGGTCACAGGTACTACTTGGAAAAGCAAGCATTTTAGTGACACATGTATTTAATTTAGCGACGGTTTTGAACGTAGCTAATCCCTGAAACAAACCTTTCGAGTGATACATATAGTGACAGTCATTTTTAAATTAGTAACGGTCGTGACCGTCGTTAAAATTTACCGACGGTGATACGACGGTCGTCCACATGCGTCGCAAACTAATTTAAGGACTGCTGGGTCAATGACAGTCGCCTGTCCGTCGTTAAAGTTTTTTGCAACGGTTTCGACCGTCGTTAAATGGCAAGAAAACCGTCGCTAACGAGCTGCTTTCTTGTAGTGTCTCTTGTCCACTATGCACGAAATCACACACAAATCCTATATTTTCATGTAAATTTACACATTATTCACACATGTTCATTTATATTCAACGTACATAACTATTTTTCAAGTAATGTGATCAATCTCATCTCACAATCAAACATATTTCACACTTTTTTTATACAAAGTTAATCATATATTGATTCAAACGAATAGATACTTACACCCTGGAACTCAGCCAGGTGCGAAAATCAAAGAAACGACTCGTAGTCGGGTACAAAAAGAGGGCTTTTCTAGCCACGGAATGGGCTATCCTATTACTACGGCGATCTACAAATCGAACACTAACCCCGAATGGATGACAAAATAATGGATGATTTCTCAAGAACAACACTCATCCGTTGTCTCTAGTATCCGCCTGATTGATTTTATCAATGATCACTTTGCTCTCCTTCAAATCTTATGTTCGTTAAGCCATACTTCAGACACCATATAATAGCCTCACTGAGAACAACAGCTCTACCACCATAGGGACATCAATAACTAAAACAGAATCCCCTTGGCCCTAAGGATACCC